ACCAGAGGAATGTTTCTCAGATGGGACACCCTGTCTGGCAATCTTACCGGTCCCTGACTCTGAATACTGTTGCTTTCACCTATAATTTCTTGTGCAATAACAGCTATGATATCTCCCTATTACTATGCATTCTCATGTAATGTGTACTTGTAATCTCATGATTACATCACAGTCTTATGGGCACACATAGTTGTGGATGGTCAAGAAGATGGTTTCTCATTTAACTGTATACGTTTGATGAGTAGAAACATACTTAAATATGCCTCATAACTAGATCTATTGTTCCATGTGGACTGCAGACACTTAGAAGTCTTGTTCTCCATCCTTAGCCACTGACAAGACAAATTGGCCAAAGTGTCCTTGTGGAACTTTCACAGAGTGGAATTGCAGGTGCCTGGCCTTGCTGGATCAAAACCCTTCAGAAGAATTATAGTGAATTAGAAGTGATAGTGGAGGTGTCTGGCTTGTTATATCTTAGTCCTTCAAGAGATCAATAGCACTTATGTTGCCTTAAGCTTCCTCTACCACCTCTGCCTTATCAACACCTCCCTTCTCTGATTCAAAAAACAATTAACACTTATTTCTACACCAGTTTTTAATGCAAGATTTTAGGCTCAGTAGACTAAATATATATAGACTCTGAGATTCAGGTGACAAACAGAAAAAGGGTATCAACTGACTAATCATGTCCAGATCTTATTAATCACATAAAATAGTAGACACACTCTTTGTCTTTTCCTCAAATCTTTCATTGGTTTAGTTTCTTCCCTTGTACCCTTGTAGCTATCCCTTAAAGAGATGAGCCAGAACTTTTACAACCTGCAGGTGTGGTCAGTCACCATTAAGCTGATCAAGTCTTTGCCAAGTGTGACTCTTATCAGAATGCTTGTCCCTGAGAGTTTGCTTTGTAGTTTTTTTTAATTACTAAGAAGTTGTTAATGAATAGATTATGTATATGTATATGTATATGTATATGTATATGTATATGTATATGTATATGTATATGTATATACTTGGGAATTGGTAATGGGTAGAAGAATAAAGATGAAGAGAAGAAAAAAGGTGGAAGAATAAAAAGAAGAAACAAAGAGAAATATGAAGAGACCCAAAGAAACCAGAAGAAACTAAGAACAGAAACAGAGACATGAGAGAAGCAAGACGTGTGTGAATGGATTCCTTCGCCCTCAGATCATTAGATTTTTCTCATTTGTTGTAGCGTCCTTTTCTGGCCCCTGAAGAGAGTTTTGGGGCTGGACCCCAAAGGCTTTCGTTAATGAACTACACCCATGCATATCCTGGCAGCACTAAGAGGACTCAGACTTTAAAAGAAAGTCCATGAAGTTGGGAGGGAAGAGTGGTGTTTGGGAAAGTACACAAGAGTTAGAGGGGAGGGAATGGATTTGATTAAAATACATTATATTCATGTATGAAGTTCTCAAACAATACATTAAAAATACAAAATTTCATTATAATACCTATAGAGACACTGGAACAAAGAAGTAATGAACAGACATTATCATGTAGGACATAAGCCATGGATCAGGGACTTAAAGTCATGCTGTCTACTTCAGAGAGTGAATTTTTACACTGCATTATATGAGTTCTCTTTTGAGAGAAAGAGAATCAAGGGATTCCAAGATGAAGCATGTATCTTCTTGGGAAGATTAGGAAACGTTTTATATAGAGTAATATTTAAAAACATGCCTAAGGGACAAACAAACAAACAAACAAAAAACCATGCCGGAGTGTTCCATGCCAGGAGGAAAGAGATACATTCTGGGAAGGAGATATGATAATACGAGGATGCAAGGAACAAAAGTATGGACGTTGTGCTGGCTCATTGTGAGCCTTCACTTGATCAGATTGAGACACAGAAGAGCAGAGTACACTTCGAGGTGTGTGTATTAAGGTGTTTAGAGAAGACTGACATGTGTGACCCCAGATAAGGAAAAAAGAACTTTCCTGAAAGTGGGCAATGCTTCCCCAAAAGGTGGGGGCCCCAGGGGAACAAAGCTGGAGGAAGGGAGAAGACTCTGTGTGTCAGGACCTGCGGCATGAGTGCTTTTGTTGCTGTTATAGTCGGATACACACACACACACACACACACACACACACACACACAAACAATTTGTTCTGTTCTTTGAAGCACCAAAATAAACACTGGATAGAAAAGAGCTTAACGTTAGTGCTGTCAAACTGTCAGGACCTGAGATCACCTTGGAGAGAAGCTTCCAGCTACACCTGTGAGAAATTATTGACCCCTTGCACATGCCTGTGAGGTGTCAGGGTACAAATATTTAGTTCCAAGATGGCTTTTTAAAATGAGGGGGGAAATTTTCCTCAGAAGGACACGGTCCTGTAAAACCTCCTTTCCATAAGTTTAATAAAATCTTATACATTTGGCTTAAAGTTCATCAAATCTCTGAAAGTGTTTTTATTTTATTTTTCTTTTATGGTGCATTGTTTTCAAGCCATTTGTTTGATTATAAACTTGTACATAGGGTTATTAATTGTGTGTTCTTAGTGTATTGTATGTTGAACATCAGCTTTACAGGTAAAATTACTTGATTAGAAAAAAAATGAGGTCTTTGCTAGAATCAGGCCAGTATTTTCGCATGGTGTAGACTCCAGTGTCACGTGTACATCACAGGTAAGTGTCTATGGTATAGTGTGGCACACACGGGAAGGTGATGTGAGCATTTGAGTCTATCTATCCTGATGAGCTGCTCCTGTGTGTTCTGTGTGGCTTGTGCCCACTGATACAAATGTTGTTTAGCACAGGGCTTACTTTATCAAATTATCTCTACAATCAAAGGAAGATTGTATAGATTGATAAAGAAAAATGAGAGGATAGGATATTTGTAGCATGAATCTTAAATGGTCTTATTAATAAAAACAAACCTGGAGCCAGGTATTGGGGTGAATACCTGTCTCCAGGTTGTTGGAAGATCAGAGAACAGAACAAGTCACAGCTTCCTCACCTCGCCAATTCCTCAGCTGATCCTGTTTCCTCAGGCTGGATGCCTCTGAGTTCTCATTCAAATAGATCTCAGCTGAACTGTTGCTCAAAAGCCTAAAAGCTTAACCAGCATCTAGTTCCTCGTCCTCATGCCTTAAATACCTTTTTGCTTTCTGCCATCAGTTCCAGGGATTAAAGGCATGAGTCACCATGCCTAGCTGTTTCCAGTGTGGCCTTGAACTCACAGAGATCCAGGCGGATCTCTGCCTCTGGAATGCTAGGATTAAAGGCTTGTGTGCCACTATTTTCTGGCCTCTATATCTAGTGGCTGTTCTGTCTCTGACCCTAGATAAGTTTATTAGGGTGCACAATATTTTTGGGGAACACAATATCACCACAGATATTTCTGTGGGTAAGGATATCAGAATGCTCGATTTTTACCAGATCTAGACAATAATTTCCTAGCTTTTTTACTCACCACAAACAGGAAATCATTACATTCAAAATGATAGGTACCTTGAATTTTGACAAGACATGACGGTTAAGCTCCCCAGACCTTGTGAGCTGATAAAGGAAACGGCTCGGGGAAGCCATGCTGGTCAGCTGAAGGGAGAACAGAGAGCAGCGTGTGCTGTTTATGTGTAGAGGATGGTTCCGAGGTGTTGCATGTGCCATCAGTAAATATTCTTAAGTGACTCTGCCCCGTCTTACTACAGAAAACAATAGATACTACTCATTCATGATACTGAATGAAAAGTTGCTGGACCAACCAAACATAACCCAAACTGCTCCTCCTTCTGCAACCTCTTGTGCTCCTTAGGGAGCAGATGAACTTGTTTGATCTTTCTGAAACCGGGCAGTTGTGAAGGGTTTGCTGTCTGGTACAAATGACAAGTAGATGACATTGGCCATTTCCTGAAAGTATTATCAGTCCGCACTTTGCATCACTTGCAAAGGAACCTCACATTACAAATTTATTTTACAATTTACTCCTAAAATCCAAATTTTGGTTCTATGACACTGTAATTACAAACAATGAGAGCAACAGCTTAAAATTAATTAAATATACCCTTTCTCTTCCTTTTGTTTTATTTTGCATGAAATGGACTCTAGAATATACTTTTTCAAATAAAGAAAAATCTATCCCTAGAATCTAATTAAATAAGTCCCTACTAGGAGATCAGGAAATTTTGGTGATATAAAGGAGTTAGAAAGAGCATAAAACATAATCATTGGGTTAAAGCTCAATATAATTTATTTGTGTCGCACATACAATCTATTGAATTTTGTATACTATGCTAATGTACACACTAAAAGAACAGGATTGGTGTTGAAGACTTGGGATCCCAGCACCCACCCATAACTTACCAGTGGCTATACCACTGATGAAAGTGACCACAGATACACACAAATGAGCAAATATTCAAAATTCCAGGAGGTAAGTGGTATCACGGAACAATGAGCAAAGTTCCGTGGTAGAACAGAAGACAGGAAAACTGGGCCTAGAAGATTTGTGGAACCTTTTCCACGAGCTGAAGATTGAGTTCAAGCTTATGGATAAAGAGGAGATGATCAAAGGACGAGGGTGTGTGTGTGTGGCGACATTTAACAAAGAATAGGGAGCTCATATGAAGGCGGTATTTTGAGGTATAAGGAAATTCGGTTGGAGAGACAGATTCTATCTTTTGTCAATGTAAGCATTACATAATACTTCCAAATAACAATAATAATGTTAAAACAGGATTTGTAAAACAAGGCAACTTTCTAAATTAACAAATTACTGTTGATCCACAACAAATCCCTTTCTCTCTGTAAGCTTGGCCACACTTAACCTGCAAACAAAAACCAAACGGAAAAACGAAGAAAGAGCTCTATAGAGAAATTGAAAAGTAAGCCCTGATATGTGCTTTTTGCCTATAAAATTATAATTCTGTCACTTTTCCTGTTACCAGTATCGCAAATAGAGAAAGGATAGTAGCTTGAATTATGCTAGCACATGGAAACCATCAGTGCGAGTTAGTAAAACGACAGAAATTCTTACTTGTCTCCAGGCTTGGATTAATTCTTTGCAGAATTGGGGAAGCTCTGCCAAGAGTAGCTGGTGTAGCTGGAAAAGAAAGAGAAGAAAATCATTAGTCAAGCCCATAGAAACACCATCTGCTGTGACCCTGTTACAGCATCATTTTTGGATAACCAGCTCCCATGCAAAAACTCCCATTAAAATTAAAATTGTATCTGTGCACTAAAAGGAGCTTGTAAAGACAGAGCAAATGGAAGCCCTTTGGTTGCCATTACTTCTGGTCTCATGCCCAGACACAATAGAGAGCAATGAAAACAATTCCACCATCTATCACTTGGGTCCAAACTCAACTTTCCCTTGTGCATATGACGGGGAAACACAAGTTTATTTTTATTTTTTTTTTTTAAATTACAAAGACCCGAGTTTAGTAAAAAAAAAAAGTTTATTTTTGGAAATAATATAAGCAAGAACATTCCTAGGCATGGGGAAAGAGTAAGGGGAAGTGCAAAGTTGAAAAAGGGAGACATGAGTTGTTTTTTTTTTTTTTGATGGAAAAAATGGGCAGTAAGTCAGTCATTATAACGCAGCTAGGAGCAGGAGGCATGGAAAGTACAAAAATGGAAAGTAAGGCTGCCTTTCCAGTTGGGTTGCTTTGCAAATGCCCCAGCTACAAAAGGACTAAACTGCTGTCTGGTCTTGGTGGGAAATATCGTAATAGGACTGGCTAGATCATCTCTCGTTACCATCAGGACACACTAAACACTGAGATTTAAGTGAAAGCCAGGGAAGCTACACATGATACGGCTAAATCAATACTTAGTCTACCTACTGTACTTTAACGTATAAATTCTTCAAAATATTTGTAAGACTCAGTGATGAGCCTTTTTATAGGTTAATGGGTTGACTGGTGGCTGGGGACTTCCTCCCTTAGTGTGGAAGCTGGCACAGGAAGAATCAACGTGTGATCACAGAACTGGCATTTTTTCCCCCCAGTGTTATCCAAAGCCTCTTGGAAGAAGGAAGGGACTATGGTTGTTTGTCATCAATGGGCAGTGGTTTAATAAATGTAGTCAAAGAATGCAGCATTCACAGAAAACGTAAAGGTCTGAGTTTAGGGGGCTTCAGTTAATCAGCAACCTGGAGGTGCTTAGAGGGTACAGTGCTTCCTCAGCCCTTTCTCGTGTTCTTCATTTGCTATGATTTAGATGTGAATTATCCTCCAAGGGCCCACGTGTTTAAGCTTTGCTCCTCAACCAGACACTATTTGGAGGTGGTGGGAATTCAAGAGATGAGGGTGAGTTGGGAGGTCTTCCCATCAGAATGGATGCTGGACCCTTTGCCCTTTCCCAGCCCTGAGGTAAAGTGGTTTCTCCATATGCTGCTGCTAAAGCGCCCTCCATTTCATGGGCTCCAAAGCAGCAGGGACTGACTAATCACAGTCTGAAAACTCGACACCTGTGAGTCAAAGTAAAACTTTTTCTCTTTATAAGTTGATTGTTTCAGATATTTGTTACAGTAGCAGAAGCTTATTAATACAACACCTCATCATCTGTATCCTTTGTGGTACCCTCTGCAATAAACTAAAATCATTAATTAATGCTTCTTTGAGTTCTGTGACAAAGTGCAGCAAATTCTTCAAATCTAATAAAGGAGTCACGGGAACTATACTTTTTAGCTGAAAAGTCTTTCAAAACCATAGTGTATTTATAATTTCTAGCTAAGAACTCTTTCAGAAGTATAGTATAGTACACTCATTTGTTATCTGATGTGGGAGACAGTACCTTCAGGTAGGCAGCATAAGAATTGAATTGTAGTATAGGATGGTCCCTCTCCCCTAAGTATTAGCCAAGTGTATTCTCACACATAATGCTTTAGTGACCAAGGGCACCAAAGTATTCTGTTTTCAAGAGTGTAGTCAGACATATTGTGTTTGCTTTTCCTGTATCCTCTCAGACAACTGAAAATATTGTCTTAGTGCTTAATAGAAGGCCACACACTGAGAACTTTGTCTCTCATAAAACACAGGAAAGAAAAAGAAAACAAAGATGAAGTGGGCAATGAGCCCGTCCACACTCATCCCTCTGAATTTCAGACCCGGTGAGTTTAGTCCATCTGCTTCTCGAGGTACTTTCTGATGAATGTTTTCATGACCTCTTCCTAGTTATCTGGCTGGTAAGAAGCAGCCATTGTGTCTATTAAAAATAATGTAAAATCTAGTAGATAGAGTTATTAAAGCTTTCCTTCAAACACAGAATTCTAATATGAGTAGAATTTTGGGGGTTATCTGGACATGATCACTGAAAATACTAAAAAGAAAGATTTGGATTTTTCTGGTTAATTAATCAATTTTAAACTGTTAGTATAATATTTTAAATTGCATGTCTATTGGTTTTCAAAATTTCTACTTACTCTTGAAATTTTACATTTTTTTCATTTATGGAAGCTTATTTACTCCCATAATTGATTATGACAAATAATTAAAAGCAGGCGATAGATATTTCCCAGAATACACAATGTACTAAGTAAGCATCAATTTTTAATATGAGCAGCAAGCAAAAGTTGTCTTTTATGACGATATCATTAAGTCTAGTTGCTGCCTTCATAACTGAAGTATTTATTATTTGCATTAATAGTCTCAATAATATTCTGGACTAGTCTCACTACCATCACCAATTCCTTGTCTTCTACCAGTACATTTTGTTTCATTATCTGTCACCTCAAACTAAGCATAAAAATATTATTACAAAAAATTTTTAGATTTGCTTACACGTATATATAATGTGTACCACATGTGTGCCTGGAGCCCACAGAGGTCAGAAGAGGGTGCCAGATCCTCTGGATCTGGAGTTGTGGATGGCTGTGACGCATGTGGGGGCTGGGAACTTAAACCTGGTGCTCTACAAGAATAACACGTGCTCTTAACTGCTGAGCCATCCTCCAAAATATTATTTTAATCATATTTAAATAATTTATATATCTGAAACAAATATAATAAACAGCATGTAGGAACCAAAGAGAGAACACATTTAGTTAGTGCCAGGAATCCATGCAGAAGAACCATTTTTCATAACCTTTGGCTTTTCATTACTTTTGGAAGGGCTAGCGCAAGCAACTCCATCATGTTGGTTTGAGACAGGGTCTCATCATGAAGCCTAGGCTGGGACAGCACGTTGGCCGGGACTTTTTAGACCTTTGGTCTTCTATTTTAAACCTAATCTCACTTCAGAACCCTCAAAGATGGACTTGGGGGTTATTTGAATCTCTTTGCCCCTCTTATCAGTGTGGCCACATTGACTAACTCTCCTTTTACTGCATTCCACTAAATAAATAAATAGATAAATTAATGTGTATGTTCTCCAAATGTAAGTTACCTGTTTTATTGATAATTATTCACTATTTGAGTTTAGATAGCTTAAAGGGGGAAGATATTAAGTTAATAAGAGAGAAAAGATTATATATATATACAGAGAGAGAGAGAAAGAGAGAGAGCCTAGAGTGCCTATGGAATTATTCAGCATTTGTCTCAATTTTCAATTTGAAATTAAGGAAAGGGACACCAGTGTCCAGCTCTTAGGTTAGCAGCAATGTTTACAAGACTTCCAAGAATGATGACTGGAATGGAATGTGCAGGTCAGTTCTGAGACCACAAGTAGAGTCTGAGCCAAACCGCTGTTCTGGAAAATCTTGGGGAGCCTTGGACTCCCTGACTCCTCGCAGAGACATCTGGTGTTTCCCCCTCTGTGGCACATTTAGTGACATTTTCATCAAGCAAAAGCCTTACTCAGCCAACACACTCTATAACACGCAATGAATCAAGACATAAAAAGAACAAGTGACATTCTAGTGGAAAGACCACAGACTTAAGCCAGTGCCAAGCCGATGCTGGTTACAAACGTCACGCACAACATGCTGCCTTAGGAAATGGAAGTGTCACGCGCACTCATCGATTTTAATTAGTGTCAGAGTCATGTACCCAGTGTCTCCAAGTTCTGACCAGTAAGGGAAGGACAAATAACGGAAGAGCATAAGCAGAGACCACAACTCCGACAGCCGTAACAATTAATGAGGCCACCACACAGTGGTTTCGGTTATGATCTTCAGGGATCCCATTTATTATCTAACCCAGAGGGATCAATAAACATTTTATAGGGACCTTTAGATGCTGGGATTTTTAAAATGAAGGATCCAGCTACAGCCTCTGGCCTCAGCAGGCCCATGGCTGTCGTCCTTTTCTCTCCTTTCTTTTTCTTCCTTTGTTTCTTCATTTTAATTAATTAATTAATTTATTTATTTATTTATTTTGGCAACAATCTGTAAAAGGAGTGACCAAGGACTGGGGGAGCAGTACAGCACCTTCACAAGAAGCTTCTTGGGGAAAACGACTCTGAGAGACAGTGACGAGTTTAGGACAATATGCAATGGTGAAGAAAGACAAACGCCAAAGACAAAGTCAAGAACGCTACTTCAAGACGTGACCTGTGGAGACAGAACTGTGGTGCGCTGGCTGTGGGTTGAATATGTAAGTTGACATGACCTATATATACAGAACTGTGGTGCACTGACTGTGGATTGAATACATGAGTTGGCATGACCTATAGATACAGAACTGTGATGCACTGGCTGTGGACTGAATACACAATTTGACATGACCTATATACACAGAACTGTGATGCACTGGCTGTGGATTGAATACGTGAGTTGGGATATGTTGGGCTGGGGATGAAATCAGTACACCTTGGGAAGGATCTTGCTGAAAGACATTTTGATTATGCAAACACTAGGGAGCACTGAGGTGGAGCGCCTCCTGCTGGACTTGTTCAAGAACAGGTTCCTACCAGGAGATCAATTGCAGTATAACCTCTGTTGTACTTTCTCTGCTTGTACTTTCCACATGAAGCACGTATCTGGACCTCAGTCATACACTGCCTGTAAAACAAGGGTCTGTCTGTTTACATGTAAGGGGTTAAACTAGCGCCTACATACAAATAATTTTCTTCAAGTAACTACTAAATATTAGTCTTCCTGTTATTATTGTTGTCATTCTTATTAGTAGGCACTGGCTTCACAGTGGGGCATGCCTTTCCCAT